TTTTCAGGTACCTCTCTATCTCCTGCTGCACGTGCTGAAAGAGTATGTGGCATTGCTGTGATTTTGACAGTCAGGCTGTGCAGCAGAGAGCTACCCTTGCTCTGAGAGGTAGGAAGTAAAGTACTAGAGACCTAGGAAATCACACTCCAACTGATTGCGACTGGTGTGGTCAGCTCCATGACCTTGCAGAGCAAAGCATACCTCCTTTGAGGTAATGGCTGCACCTTGCTTTGTCCAACGCCTTGTGCATTTCAGGTGCTGCTGTAATGACAACTCATACATTTGCTTTTTCAAAATAGCTGGCCTACCACTTGCTTTTACAGTCTGAAGATTGAGTGACACAGAAGGTCTACACGGAATAGCCCCTGCTTCTCCTCCTCTGGAGTTGCACAGAAAACAGGTTCTCTGTTTATCTGCAGGTTCCACGTCCAGATGGCAAACCTGATAACCTTGGCCTGCTGGTCCTAGATGAGCCATCTACAAAGCAGTCAGATCCCACAGTGCTCTCTCTTTGGTTAAAAGAAAATTCCAAACAGCACAACATCACAGTGAGTTGTGAGGGGAGAGGAGACATTACTGCGCACCACAGAAAAAAAATTACATGTTACTTTTACTCTTGTGACTGCATGAATACAGTGTTGCAGCAAAACTGATAACTTGGCTTTACAAACAGAAGGAAAAAAAAATATCTTTCCCACCTTTAGGCTGAAATGCATCTAAAACTTTGCTTCAGGCAAGTCTTGGTACAGACATTGGATCTATTTGTTTCCTTCAGCTGAAATTTTGTTTCCTTTTGTTTGTCACTACATGGTTTTACTCAGCATTTTGTTTCCCAGCTCCTCTTCTGTCTGCAGAAACCACTTGGCATAGTGCAGCTAGGAAAGAGCAAATGCACAGTTCAATCAGGAGTGAACACAGGGTTTGCAAAAAAAAAAAAAAAAAAAAAAAAACAACAATGTGTTTCCAGGTTCATATTTTTGGTTTCAGCAGCAGATAAAAGTGAAGAGTATAGAGAACGCAGAAAAGAACCCCAAAGCCATTGACAGCTGGATCGAAAGTATCAGTGAGCTGCATCGTTGCAAACCCCCTGCCACGGTCCATTACACCAGGTGAGTCATTACACCAGCTCTCCTTTACACTAGCAGCTGCACATACTTGTCTAGTATAAAATTGGGTCAGGGGAAGGCTAGTTGCAGAGCCTAGGAGTGCTGAGTGGAACTATCCAAGTGTCGCTAAGAGGGAGAAGGCATTTCTGGCTTTACAGGGCAGTCATACAACCTGTGTATGCAGGACACTCGCTTCCCCCTCTGTCCTCCGCTTACCCTGTGTAACTTGAATTAATTCAACAGCTAGGACATCTAACTTGCAACTTCGTGCACACAGTGAGTTTCCACAAAAGCGGGAAAACCTGGATAAATCAGAGGAGGCAAGGCTATTATTACCATGTCCTGATTCATTTCTCAGCTGTTGTGGCACTCCCTTCTGCCCAAACTCATAATTTGGAACTGTCCAACCTCCCTCCAAAGGATATGCTGTTTCCAGCGTCTTCCTTTAGCCACAGTGCCAAGCACAGATGTTGCACCTTCAAAGCTTAGTCTTGGTTTCTTAAATAAAAATGCCCAAACTGATGCTCCACAGACACGCTACGCTTTCCCACAACTGGACAAGACAGAAGCTGTCCCATTTATACGAGTCTGGCAGTAGGAAACCATTTCCATTGTCTGCATATAATCCTGAAGTAGGCGTTTTTTTTCTCCCCTTGCAGACCAATGCCTGACATTGAAACTCTCATGCAGGAATGGTTACCAGAATTTGAAGAGCTCTTAGGAAAGGTACGTTGTCCAAGTGATGAGTAGTTAGCTCAGTGCGTGATTTTAGTAACCTTCTTGCATGTAATCTAGGTTTCTGTTCCACTTTGACCACTTCGCCTGTAGCCTGCTCGGTTCAGGTTTGTTCCTCACCTACCCCTTCTCCCTTACCAAGAGACAGGGGAGCAGCCTAAAGCCTAAATTCCCAGGAACGGCCCAGGTAGCCTCTGTGCTGGGCCTATCGTTAGCGCCTGTGCTCAGGCTCTAATGTGAACAGAGCTGACAGCCTCCTCTGTTCTAGGTGGGCCTCCCAACTGCAGAGATAAACTGTGGCCTGGCTGAGTACATCGACATGATATGTGGTAAGCAGAGGATAGCCCTTTCTTACCCTCATTTGAAGGCATCTGATTGTCTCTAGCCCAGAAACTGGCAGAAAATAGAAACGTGAAGCTTTAAAAGATACTGTGAGGTACAACATTGTCTCATGCTGGTCTCTAGAGGATGTCTCAGGCAGTTATTAGCTCGGCGCTATTCCTCATTCAGGGGCTTAGGTTCTGTCTACTCTGCTGAGCAGGCCGATCAGACTGATCAGAGAACTCCCCTCCTGTGCCAAGTGTTTAGATGGGAAAAAAAGCAGTCCAGTACTTCTAGGTCCTTCTGCATATTCAGGACAGACCAGCTCCAGTCCTGTGCACCACTGACTGCTGAAGACACAAGTGTGCAGCTAGCCCAGCACTGTGTTACTAAAAGCAAGAGGCTTATGTAGATGCAGTCTCAGCCCTGAAAAGTCAAGACTGTTTTCATCTGCCTTCAGCGGGAAGTGGACTCTTGTGCCAAAGACATGTGTGGTCTTTGATGAGCAAAGGCCCAAGCAACGGGAGGCAGTGAGAAGGTCAACCTGTACTTACAGCACTGTCTGCACAGAAGTACAGCCCAGGTGCTCTCGTGCATTTCTGGTATTTGTTTGTAGCCATTCTGGACATCCCTGTGTACAAGAGTCGGATCCAGCCTCTGCACGTCCTCTTCTCGCTCTACTCGGAATTCAAGAACTCACAGGTAAGCGACTCCAACCAGGCCCCAGTCACCCAGCTGGGAGCATTACAAAACTTCTGTCCTTAAATCTGGCCTTGCTACACTGTGTGCATTTGCAAACTGCTAACAGGCCAACGTGAAAGGGGCCCAAAGAACATTTTCAAAGCTTCTCTTTTTCCTAATATCTCAGAGAAACGATGTTGATCTTGATCTGATTTACCACAGGGCTGGGATGCAGCATTGTTTAACAGTCCAGCATAAGTCCAGAATGTTTTTCCCAGTGAAGTCACAGTGACTGTGCCAAGCACACACAGGCGCTTGGACAGAACTAGGTTGGAAACCTCAGAGGCCAACACAAGGTGCTAGGCAGCTGCTGACCGCACAGGTCATACAGAGGGAAAGGGGCTTGTGTTTTCAGATGCACATATATATTCTAGTTAACGAGAGTTAAATCTTTGCGCTAACGCGTTATTTTCCCTGCAGCATTTCAAATCCCTGGCTGAAGGGAAGAAGGCTGGGAGCCCTCCATCCAACCCACCTTCCCAAGCAGCAGAAGTATTAAGCTTTATGTGAAGCTTCACATTAAACCCTAATCTCCTGGATCAATATCTGCTGCTGGGTATAGAGGTTTGACCAAACTAACGCATAAGGCAAAGCACAGCGTTTCGAAAGACTCCCGTATTTTATGGACGCTGCTAAGCTGCTTGGGATTCATAGCATTTGTTGCAGATGCTGCCTAATCCCTCCATTTTGACTTGTTCCCAAGGAATATAGCATTAAACTAGCTCTTCCAACTGACAGACTCCACATGACACGCTGCAGAGTACAGACTTGTAGAGTGCACCCTACAAGCACTACAGCAGGTGGAAATAAAATCCATGCTCAGACCCCAAACTGATGCAGCTGGTGTGTTCTAAGGTCTTACCATATTCCAGGGATCTCAGGTCTCCTCTGCCCATTGTTGTTGAGTCCCTTTTTCTATTCTCAAGTCACTTTGTTATGAGCAACAGTGTCATTGCTACCTTTCTGCACTTTGTGCCAAAAAGTTTGTGAAAGCAGGAAGAGCTTGGGAGGGGGACAGAACTCTTTGCTTACCTCTGGCTGTGTGCAGGTGGCAGCCGGTGACACAGGACACATTCCCCTTGGGATCCTGGTGGGTCAAAGGTTGATGAGGGCAGCATGTTAAAATCTAGCTCCCACCAGCTGTTTTAATGGAGTTCAGCAGAGAAAGAAACGATGAGAAATAACCAGTGCAGCACTACACAGACACTTGAGTTTAGTTTATTGCTGTTGGGAAGGCTCTTTCCAGCCGCTGGCATGCTGCCTGCCCACACGTCTGTCACAGCTCTGGCAGAGGCGGCGAGGTTCCTAGAGCAAGCAGGTCGCAAACCTGCTAAGCCCCAGGCTGGTGCTTACCCTTGCTCTGGGAGGAATCGAAGCAGTAGCAGCTTGACAAAGTCTGTCTATAAACAGCTTTGTTGCGTTTTGATGATAATGTATTTTTAAAGTGCCTGAGTTAAATAAAAACATGCCTTGGCTAACAGCACAGCTACCGAAAACAATCAAGGGAGCTGCTGCCAGCTCGCTACTCCGATGCATAGCTTAACATATTGCCAAGGGGCTGCTCAGCGCCAGCGACCCAGCGTGACTCCCCTGGCACCCTCAGCCCTGCTTGTTCCGACACTGGTACCCGTTGCCAGGCAGGCCCCCTGAGCTCTGGCAGCTTTCCAGGCATGGGAGAGCTCGCAGGTGGCTTCAGGAGTTGCTCTGTCCAGAAGGATGTTCACGAAGTAAGGCAGACTAGCACCACGGCAGGGCACACAGCTCACAAGTGGACGTTACTAAGGGCAAGAGCTGGGACACGAGAGCAGCCCAGGGTGTGGAGCAGCCTCCCGGAGCAGCAGTGGCAGCTGGGGGGGGGG